AGGGTCATGGTGGAGGCTGGGAAATTGATGGGGTGAGGCCATGATCATGAGCGGGCAAGATGGAGGACAGAGGACAAGATGGAGGGTGAGACAATATGGAGGATGATGACAAGATGGAGGACAAGGGACAAGATGGAGGATGAGACAATATGGAGGATGGGACAAGATGGAGGACAAGGGACAAGATGGAGGATGAGACAAGTTGGAGGATGCGGCAAAATGGAAGATGAGGACAAGATGGAGGAAGAGGACAAGATGGAGGACAGGGGACAAGATGGAGGATGAGACAAGATGGAGGACAGAGGACAAGATGGAGAACAGAGGACAAGATGGAGGACAGAGGACAAGATGGAGGATGAGACAAGATGGAGGATGAGGACAAGATGGAGGACGGGAGAAGATGGAGGACAGGGGACAAGATGGAGGATGAGACAAGATGGAGGATGAGCCAAGTTGGAGGATGAGGGAAAATGGAAGATGAGGCCAAGATGGAGGATGAGACAAGATGGAGGATGATACAAGATGGAGAACAGGGGACAAGATGGAGGATGGGATAAGATGGAGGATGAGACAAGATGGAGGATGAGACAAAATGGAGGATGGGACAAGATGGAGATGAAACAACATGGAGGTCAGGGGACAAGATGGAGGATGAAGCAAGTTGGAGGATGAGGCAAAATGGAGGACGAGGACAAGATGGAGGATGAGACACGATGGAGGACAGGGGACAAGGTGGAGAATGAAACAAGATGGAGGACAGGGGAGAAGATGGAGGATGAGACAAGATGGAGGACAGGTAACAAGATGGAGGATGAGACAAAATGGAGAATGGGACAAGATGGAGGTTGAGAGAAGATGGAGGACAGGGGACAAGATGGAGGATGAGAGAAGATGGAGAACAGCAACAAGATGGAGGATGAGACAAGATGAAGGACAGGACAAGATGGAAGATGAGAAAATGGAGGATGAGACAAGATGGAGGACAAGGACAAGATGGAGGATGAGACAAGATGGAGGACGAGACAAAATGGAGGACGGGACAAGATGGAGGATGAGACAAGATGGAGGAAGAGACAAGATGGAGGATGAGAAGATGGAGGATGTGACAAGATGGAGGATGATGACAAGCTGGAGGATGAAACAAGATGGAGGAAGAGGACAAGATGGAAGAAGAGACAAGATGGAGGTCGGGACAAGATGGAGGTCGGGACAAGATGGAGGACAGAGGACAAGATGGAGATTGAGACAAGATGGAGGATGAGACAAGATGGAAAATGAAACAAGATGGAGGACAGGGCAAGATGGAGGATGCGACAGGATGGAAGATGAGACAAGATGGAAGATAGGCCAATATGGAGGATGAGGCAAAATGGAGGTCAGGGGACAAGATGGAGGATGGCACAAGATGGAGGACAAGGACAAGATGGAGGATGAGACAAGATAAAGGACAGAGCATTAAGATGGAAAAGGAGACAAGATGGAGGATGAGACAAGATGGAAGATAGGACAAGATGGAGGATGAGGCAAAATGGAGGTCAGGGGACAAGATGGAGGATGGCACAAGATGGAGGACAAGGACAAGATGGAGGACAGGAGACAAGATGGAAAATGAGACAAGATGGAGGACGGGACAAGATGGAGGATGAGACAGGATGAACTGGGTCTTGGTGGAGGGTGGGATACAGTGGAGGAGGGACATGATGGGGCGGGGCTATGGTTGGAGGGCGTGGCTATGACGGGCGGGGTTATGATTGAAGGGTATGTCTATGACAGGGGCAGGGCTATGATTGGAGGGCAGGGACACAGCAGGGGCGGGGTCATGGTGGAAGGCTGGATACAATGACGTGGGGCCATGATGGGGTGGGGCTATGATTGGAGAATATGGACACGATGGAGGCAGTATCATGGTGGAGGGTTGGAGACAATGGAGTAGGGACATGACGGCGGGCGGGACGACACAATGGGGTGGGCTCATGCTGGGAGGTGGGAAACAATGGAGTAGAGACATGATTGGAGGGCAGGGACATGATGGGGCGGGGCCATGATGGAGGCGGGGCATGTGATGAAACCATTGATAGGATGGCAGGGGGCCATGATCATTTGATGGTGGTTCTGAGGTGCCCTCATGCACCCGTGACCTTTAACAACCCAGTGTCCAGCAGCCCTGAAGCAGGGCCTCAGGAGGACTCACTGACCATGATGCACCAAGGGGGGTGGGGCCATGATTGTGGCTGAGGTCATAGTGGCGGAAGGGGACACGACAGGTGGGGCCATGATGGAGGGCAGGGTCATGGTGGAGGCTCAGAAATTGATGGGGCAGGGCCATGATCATGAGCGGGCAAGATGGAGGACCAGGACAGAATGGAGGATGGGGACAAGATGGAGCATGGGGACAAGATGGAGCATGGGAAAAGATGGAGGATGAGACAAGATGAAGGATGACAGGGGACAAGATGGAGGATGAGACAAGATGGAGGACAGGGGATTAAGATGGAAAATGAGACAAGATGGAGGACAGGGGACAAGATGGAGGATCGGACAAGATGGAGGAGATGGAGGAAGAGGACAAGATGAAAGAAGAGACAAGATTGAGAACAGGGGACAAGATGGAGGATGAGCCAAGGTGGAGGATGAGACAAGATGGAGGACAAGATGGAGGACAGGGGACAGAATGGAGGATGGGACAAGATGGAGGATGAGGCAAGATGGTGGATGAGACAAGATGGAGGATGAGACAAAATGGAGGATGAGACAAGATGGAGGAAGAGGACAAGATAGAAGAAGAGAAAAGATGGAGGACAAGGGACAAGATGGAGGATGAGACAAGATGGAGGACGGGACAAGATAGAGGATGAAACAAGATGGAGGACAGGGGACAAAATGGAGGACGAGGACAAGATGGAGATCAGGACAAGATGGAGGATGAGGACAAGATGGAGGCGACAAGATGGAGGATAGAGGACAAGATAGAGGATGCGACAAGACGGAGGATGAAACAAGCTGGAGGGTGAGACAAGATGGAACGTGAGACAAGATGGAGGTCAGGAGACAAGATGGAGGACAGAGGATTAAGGTGGAAAATGACACAAGATGGAGGACAGGGGACAAGATGGAGGATGAGACAAGGTGGATGACAGAGGACAAGATGGAGGATGAGACAAGATAGAGGACAGGTGACAAAATGGAGGATAGGACAAGATGGACAATGGGACAAGATGGAGGAGGAGACAAGTGCGAGGATGAGGCAAAATGGAGGACGAGGACAAGATGGAGGGTGAGACAAGATGGAGGACAGGGGACAAAATGGAGGATGAGACGAGATGGAGGATGAGGACAAGATGGAGGATGAGGCAAGTTGGAAGACGGAGGACAAGATGGAAGATAAGATGGAGGACGGGAAGAGATGGAGGACAGAGGACAAGATGGAGGATGAGACAAGATGGAGGGCGTGGACGGGGTGGAGGGTGTGGAAAGGATGGAGGGCGAGGACATGATTGCGGGTGTGCAGAATCACTATGTGGAATAGTTTGGGGTTACTCTGGATGGTGTAGAGAAGATGCAGGAGTGTGGAGATGAGCTGGAGGAGTGTGTGAACCATGGAGAAGGGCGCCAGCATCGTGCCTTAGCTGTCAAATCCCAAAGGCGTGTTCCCAGCAGTGTGCCGGGACCCCTGATCCCCCCCCCCCCCCCCCCCGTTGCCCACTGCTCTTGTCCACTCCCAACACTATTCCAACACTGAGTCCTTGGTCTTCAGGGTCATTGATCTCTGAGTGCTGCAGAAGGTGCAGCAAAGGAATGGTGAGACACACACAGTCAGGTCTTTGAGCACAAGAATGGCTTTTCCCTCCTTTGAAGCCATAACGTGCTGCTGTTGCGTGTAGACTTTTGGAAAACCCTCTGAGTTTTGCAGGCCTGTAAAGGGGGAAACGTGGCCGAGTACGGCAGCTTTATAACGTCTTGTCTCTAAGTGGGAGCTGACCCACTGCTGATTTTCCAGGGAGTTTTCAGACGCAGGACATCCTGCAGAAAGAGATTGTCCATCGTTCTGGCAAGAAACAGCCAGCAGCTGTGACTTGTAGTGACCCTGGATCCAGCAGCTCTGAAGCCTGCCCTGTCCTGAGCCCGTGTCACTGACTCAAACACACTTAACACCCTTGGCTGCAGTCACTGGATCAGTCCATCTCATCCGGGGTCTCCCTCTCCTGCACTTCTTTTGGTTCTATTTTTGTAGTATGTTGACGCTTTCTTTGTAATGTGGCATTAATAACTAAGAGATGCCCCTTGAAGTAATAGATCGCCACCCGTGTTTATAACCAGCAGTTGGAAACAATGCAAATATCTATCAATGGATGCATAAAAACAAGACAGTAAGGTCTTGACAAAAGAGCCCTGATGAAAAAAAAAGGCCCTTAGGAAGCTTTCTACCAAGTTAGAAAGTTTACTGCAAATGAAATAAGATCACTATTGTAAAAACTGGGGGCTGGGTGGTATTAAGCTGCACCGTGGTCCCAAAAAGGCACACGGTTCAAGTCCACCAGCCGCTGTGTGGGCAGAAGGATGGGACCTCTCTTTCTGTGAGTTTTCCCGTCTACAAAAACCCACTGGAGGGCTGTCTGTCTGTTCCTACTTGACGACACACGACAACATTATTTGAGGTTGACTGTGAACAGCCATGCTTCTGGGATTATTGAGTCAGGAGAAGTAACAAAAACAAAAACACAAAAACAAAACCCAAATAAATAAAAAAATTAAAAATAAGTTAAATAGATGGTAGAAAGGAGAATTTCTTTGTTTTCTAAGGGATGGCTTGGGCTTCATCAACTCACGATTGCATTCAGATGCAGGTTCTGAAAACCACGCGTGTGAAAAAAAAGAAATCTGGGGGTGACCTTTTCCTTAACTGGGGTGTGATGTAGTGAGACTCTTGCCCGACTGGGAATGTGCTGTGTGTTTCAGGAACCCGTGTCCGTGGAAGACGTGTCCGTGGTCTTCAGTCACGGAGAGTGGGCCCTGCTGAACGGGGCTCAGAAACAACTGTACCACGATGTCATGCGGGAAACCCTGAAAAACCTCCAGACGATAGGTAAGCATGACTTTTGATAGATAAATAAATATGGAAAGATCCTTCTCACGCACCTGACCTCTCCCATTGCTGGAATTATATCATCGGAGAGAAGGAAGGAAGGAAGTACATAATTCAAGAAGACACGGCCAGATTTCCCCCCCAGATCAGAAAGCTGTGGTCTCATCTTTCTTGAGGTTGAAAGGCTCCTTCTTAAATCCAGTTGTTGGTTTCACGGTAGCTCCGTGGACCCTTTGAGAATCATGTCCCACTCTCCAAGGAATGGCCCTTCCTAGCAAATGACCCAAGGGTGTAAGGCAAAGCCTCATCATCCTTGACTCCAAGGAGCACTCCAGCTGCACCCTTTCCAAGACAGATGCGTTTATCCTCTTGGTCATCCATGAAATGTCCAGTGTTCTTCTCCAACAGCTCAAAAGCAAATATTCTTTTTCCATCATCCTCAGTCATTGTCCGGCTCTTAGACGCGTAGAGAGTGGTTGGAAAGACCCCATGGTAGACTGAGAACATGTCTTTAACAGAGAGCTGAGGACAGTGGAAATAGAACTCAATTATTATCACTGGACCAGGAAGGAATAGGAAAGTCATCGATATTTTTAACGTCTTACTGTACACAGAGTCAGTGACGTTTCAGTAATCAATAAGAAAAAAAATGTCTTTAGAGTTGAGGACAGACTTGCACATATTAGGACTAGATTAGTACCACCGGATCAAGAACGAATACGAAGGTCATCTTTTTTTTTTAATGTCCTGCCCTACATGGAATAAATGATGTTTCAATGATCATTCAGAGAGAGAGAAAAAAAATCTCTTTAGAGTTGAGAACAGAACTGCACATATTCTTGAGAAAAGGTGCATGGTGTAGACAAAATGGGTCTCCTTAATTGTCCTGTGAAATATGGCCCAAGGGGTACAAAAAAAATGCCTATTATCTCTGTCTTTACAACAGCTTTCTGTTGTGGAGTGCCTTTCCGTACATTGGCACACTGTGAACCTTAGCCGTTCAGACTTTGGATGGACACATGCAATCTGGTAAACCTAGGCTGATGCCATTTAGAAAGAATTTCAACACCTTGTTTTCTCTCTCCTCTCCTCTCTTCTCTTCTCTTCTCTTCTCTTCTCTTCTCTTCTCTTCTCTTCTCTTCTCTTCTCTTCTCTTCTCTTCTCTTCTCTCTCTATTTTGATATTGCTAAGTGATCAAGTTAGG